ACAATGTCTTAAACTGTTGCCATGTTACAAAGCTGTCAGTGGCCGGTACATCTGCATTTCAAACTTCGGAGCATGCTATGTTCTAACAAAAAGCATTCCCTCTGCCGACATTGAAAAATGGGCACATAATACATCCTCAGCCTTTCTCGCTGACAGTCCACAGCTGAAAGAACTCTACAGCTTTCTTGGGGTCACACCAATTGATGATCTTGAGGTCTACCTGAATCATTTAATTCCAAAATTTGACATTTTATCACATGATGCCAAAATCCAACATGTCATCTATCTGAAGGAGAGGTTATTGGCAATGGAGGAGCCAAACAGCATCAAGGATCAGCTCTTTGAAAAACTAGAAGGTCTGTCTTTCATTCATGACTCCACCAATAGACTGAAACCTACTAAAGCCTTCTTCGATCAAACAGTTAAAGTGTTTGAAGTAATGCTTCCACAAAAAGCCTTCATTCCCAATGATTTCTTCAAAAAAATCGAGCAGGTCTCAAAGCCAAAAAGTGGGACATCCTATTTGCCCTCATGGATAACATTCCTACGCAATACTGGGTTAAAATATGTTGTATCACAACAGCAAGTTCTACAGTTTGCAAAAGAGATCAGCATCAAAGCTCATACAGAGAACTGGTCCCAGGAAAAAGTTCAGACTATTGTTGATGTTCTCCTAAATCACATTTTCAATGAGAGAACAGATCTGTTTGATGGGGCATTCCTCAAAGAAATCTCTATGATACCATTCCTATGCCCAGAGCGTGCACCAGCTGAGCTTGTTCGCCTCCACGCTCAGTACCAAGAAATGAATGGCACCATCCCTTTAATTCGCTTCAGTGGGTCTCAAGTAAATCCAAAGTTCAAACAAACTGATATCATGCAGTTGTTGTGGGCATCTTGTCCTATTCTACCGGAGAGAGCCACCCCAACAAGCATAAAAGACCAGGAAGGAAACACACTTGCCAGCCAAGAGCAACTTGATCTTATTTTGAGCCTGTTAAATGTCAATGTGGACCCACCATTGGAAAAGGTGATTAGCAATTGCAAAAACATATGTAGCATTACTAACTTGGATGATGACACAGTGAAAACACGAAACAAGGTCTTGAGGAGCATTTATGAATTTCTGAATGCAGAAAAACATGAATTCCGCTGTCAGTTACGAGGAGTAGCCTTCGTCATGGTTGAAGAGGGTTGGAAACTCCTTAAACCAGAGGAGGTTGTCATTAATTTGGACAATGAATCTGACTTCAAACCTTACTTGTACAAACTTCCCCTTGAGCTGGGTACATTTCACCAACTGTTCAAACTGTTGGGAACTGAGGACATTGTTTCAACAAAACAATATGTTGAAGTTTTGTGTCGAATTTATAGAATTTCAGAAGGCAAGCAGCTTGACCCAAATGAAATGAGAACAGTGAAAAGAACTGTCTCTGGGCTATTCAAAAATCTCCAGAATGACCCAGTACAGGTTCGTAAAGACCTTGAGAATCTCAGAGATTTGACATTTTACCTTCCAAGTCATGATGGACGATTGGCCAAATCAAACACATTGGTCTTTGACGATGCACCACACTACAAGAGCCGAATTCAGGGTAATGTTGGTGTTCAGATGCTAGTTGACATGAGCCAGTGTTACCTAGGCAAAGACCATTCCTTTCAAACAAAGCTGATCATGTTGCTTCCCCAGAAACTGAGGCCCAGGCTTCTGAGTAGTATCTTGGAGGAACAACTAGATGAAGACTCTCCAAAAATGTGCCAATTTGGTGCCCTTTGCTCCCTGCAGGGACGGCTTCAATTGCTCCTGTCATCAGAGCAGTTTATCACTGGATTAATTCGGATCATGAAACACGAGAATGAGAATGCATACATGGTGAATGAGGAGAAAGCAATACGGTTATGCAAAGCACTGTGTGAGGGCTTAAAGGTGTCTTGCTTTGAGAAACTACAGACAACATTGCGAGTGAAAGGCTGCAGTCCGATTCCCCATAGCCGTAGTGAAACTCTTGCCTTTCTTAAAAGGTATGGAACTGCTGTTATCCATCTCTACATTCAGCACTCTGACAGCAAAGACATTAATTTTCTTCTTGCTTTAGCAATGACCCTTAAGTCAGCGACAGACAACCTGATTTCTGACACCTCTTATCTTATTGCTATGCTGGGTTGCAATGACATCTACAGAATAACAGAGAAGCTAGACAACCTTGGTGTCAAGTATGACACAACTGAGCCCTCAAAGCTAGAGCTTCCACTTCCTGGTACACCCATTCCTGCAGAGATTCATCATTTACTGCTCATGGACCCCATGAATGTCTTTTACCCTGGAGAATATGTTGGTTACCTGGTAGATTCAGAAGGAGGTGATATTTTAGGCACTTACCAGCCAACTTACACATACGCTATCATCGTTCAAGAAGTAGAACGGGAGGAAGACGAAAGTCCAAGTGTCCTCGGCAAGTGCTTTCAAATTGACATTGGGTACAGTGAGTACAAAATTGTGAGTTCTCTTGACCTATATAAATTTTCCAGACAGGATGATAGCACCCATATTCGAGATGGCACACCAACTCCAAAAAGCCCCTCAGAGGGTCGTTCTCCTTCTGCCAGAATGGTCCCTCCAATATTTCCTAGAAAGGAAAATCACAGGGCTCCTCCAACAGAGGCATCCCCCAAAAAGATAAAACTCAATGCATTACCAGAAATTCTAAAAGAAGTTACGTCGGTCATAGAACAAGCTTGGAAACTTTCTGAAACAGAACGCAAGAAAATTATACGCCGCTTATACTTGAAGTGGCACCCTGACAAAAATGCAGAGAATCTTGATATCGCTACCGAAGTCTTTAAGCACCTACAAAATGAGATCAGCAGGATGGAGAAGCAAACACAGGCAGAGCAGACCACTGAAAGAGGATCAAGGAGACCTTTCTCTGCATCTTCCACTCGATTCCAGTCAGAGAAATTCTCATTTCAGCGATTTTACACATCAGGGAACCAAGAAGCAACAAGCCATAAATCGGAAAAGCGGCAGTTCCGAGAACAATTTACTAGCTATGCAGGCACATCGCATTCAAATCGCTTCTTTGTACCACCGTCGTTTAAGTCCGTTGGGAACCCTGTAGAGGCACGCCGGTGGCTAAGGCAAGCAAGAGCCAATTTTTCCGCTGCAAGAAATGATCTTCATAAAAATGCCAATGAATGGGTATGTTTCAAATGCTACCTGGCAACAAAGCTTGCATTAATCGCTGCAGATTATGCAGTGAGAGGAAAATCAGACAAAGATGTGAAGCCCACAGCACTTGCACAAAAGGTAGAGGAGTACAACACCCAGCTAACAGGGTTGGCCAAGGATGTACACATCCTCGAGGGTTATGGTGTGGACAGCCTGAGAACTCGCTACCCTGACCTTTTACCCTTCCCCCAGATTCCTAACGACAGATATACTTCAGAAGTAGCAATGAGAGTAATGGAATGTACAGCTCGGATAATCATCAAACTTGAGACATTTGTCCAGCAAAAAATCTGAATGTCAGCATTAGACAATGCAAAACTCTAACAATTGAATTAACAAAGCGTTTTACAAAATGATGTATCTCGCTGGCATTTTATTTCAACAGTGCCACCTCTGATGCTGTGACACATGCTTATAATTGCGTACATATCTGCTCCATTTCTCTGAAAGGTTGCCCGAGTCTAAAGAAAAAATGTACGCTATTTAACATGCAGCAGTGTACATAATGTTCAAAAATATAGCAATACCTTTTATTTTAAATACATTTATTGTTGTTCCTTTGTACATAATGAATACCAATGCTGCTTTTTTTTAAATATTTTTTAGAAATTAATTTTTCCTGCCATAGTCATTAAGTTGAAGGTATTGTGATTTAATAGCATGAGTTGCACTGCACTTTTATGTAATTGAGTGATTGCAGAAATTTGAATGAATTAATCATGTGCAATCCAGCAATGACAGGCAAATCAGCTCATGGTTTCTTAATGGGATCTATATCAATCATGTGCCAGTTGCTCATTCTGAAATAAAAATGGCAGGTTATAATGTTCATACACCGTTTTATCAGCTGGCAAACAAGGTAATTGACATGCTCCTGTCACTGTATATGTAATACTGTGCATAACCTGAACATTAAACTGTGAAAATAAAAATATTTGAAAGACTTTAAATTACATCTTGAAGATGTAATATGACAGCAGGTTCATAAGTGTTTACCAGTGCAATTACTGTATCTGTCTGGTTGCAAGAATGAAATTTATTTCATATTTCACAATCAACTTTATCGCAACTGAACTATACATGTATACATTGTTGGCTTGGGGCTTAACAGAGCACTTTTTATTTCCCATACAAGGATACTGGTGGGTGTAGTTTTAGCACATATTACTATTTTTAAAAAATGTACCATTTAAAAATATAACAAGTGACATTTTCTCTTGAAATGTCACCTGTCAGTTAATTGCCGTGTACACATCATACAACATGCGTAATTCCTCAGAAACACATTGATTAAATATGCATTTTCTATTATTCACAATGGGAACCTCTTGTCCTCAACTGCTGAGATTTTTTTGCATGAAGTTCTCTGAAATTTGTGTAAGAGGAACATAGATACTCATATGGTGCTCAATGTCAATGATGTTTTTTCATCCATTTCCTTTGTTTAACTGCGAGAGACTGAAATTAAACACTGGCTACTGTATTGTTTGGACAAATACATTTTGTCATTTGTTTCAATCTCATTATGTCATATTACAGCTCTGTAAGTTTGAGACCCACTGACAGTGGCTCTTATTTTTATTCTTAATTTTAATTCTTAAAAATATCCTCTGAATCCACTGTTCAGTCATATAGTATCAGGTAATAATGGTACAAAATATACCGTTTATTGCGCACAAAATTTTCCCTTAAGTTTCATTATTTTTTTATTATTATCATGTCAACTGATGCCAAAACACTGAATGTGGAAAAACCAATTTACACTTGTTCATACATGCTTTATAGTTAAACTATAATATCATTCAAAGGTTAGTATTGTAATTATTTACTTTACCTATGTAAACCTCAAAATATGAGATTTCCCATTGAAGAAATATACATCAACCAAAATATAATATACAACTGATGAATAAATGTGAAGATTCCCAACCAATGTACCGTATATACAAACATAAGCACTCTCAGCATTTTCAAACAGAACATATGCAAAACAATTCTGAGAAAACACACATCCCAAAGTTTCAAGCTGCCATAGGTAAATTATACCATTTTGATACTTGTATTATTTCATATACATTTATATGAAATAAATGGAGATGCCTAATCTGATATCAAACCAAGAGCACTTTATATCTTACAGTAGTTTTTTTTTTTTTTTACTAGATCAATTATGTTGATGTTTTACATACAGAACAGAATGTGGTTACTCTCAATACCCCAGCTGTTTTGGCACTTGACACATAGATTTTGCCATTTGACAAAAATGAGAGACATTTGGATTAGATTATATTGCAATGCTTAACAGAAGAATTCAAAGCTACTGCTTCAGGATTGTGGGTAGTGCAGTTCTTCAGACAGAAATGTATTATTATGCATGACTTAATAAAAAAAAAGTTGAAATTAAACTGATTTCAGAAGTATATATCATAACCCTCGGAGAAGCACATAAGTGTTTTATTTGTAATAATTTCTCTATTAATGAGCGCATCTTTAAACAATAACTAGCTGATATGCATCACACAGAATTTGGGTATTTATTGCACCTCAAAATTATATTGCTTAGGATGTCAGCTGTTTACCAGCCCCTTTATTGCCCAGCCTAATTTTGAACAATTTTTATACAAAAAAAGGAGAAAAATGAAGCAGTCTACACACCCCGATCTCATTAGAAAATGTAACTATTTTACAAGGCGATTTTGTATGAATTCATACAATGTGATTCATACATAGACATATTTAAAAAATAATAATAATAATCATAAGGGTCCTCCCTTAAACCTAAACGTCGGTGAGGAGTTAGGCAGATTGTATGGAAACATAAGAATTAAATTTGAATTTATTAGGTTTGAATTTATAACCACCAATTCACCAAAACATAAATAGTTACAAATTGCCATGGGTGTGTGTTGTATATACTGCATATTTCATCTTCCCTATCATGATAAAACCCCAACCAAACATGAATGTACACCTCTGATCTTCAGTAACATGTTAATACATATCGTGATGGGGTTTTTTAACCTTGCCCTATACAATGTAACAACACAATGTGTTTCTAGTGTGGGCGTTAAGGACAGAAGGTCATTCAGCAGTCCTGGCGCTCGCTGCAGGTCGAAGAGACGCCAGCTCTGGAGACGAAGAGCTTACCGCTGGGACAAACGCACACTTCATATGTGTTGTACATTCCCTGAGAGTCACCTGACGTTCTGGCTTCTCCCACAGGTAACGTCGGCAGACGAACGCTTTCAGCATCTAAAATCAACTGAAACATACAACTGAAAACCTTACTATTGAGGTATTTAATGAAAGGTTAGGCCACACTTTATTTTAAGGTGTCCTTGTTACACATGTTACATGTACTTACTATTATAATTACAAAAAATTCTGCATTATTACATGCAAGTAACCCTAAGTCAAACCCTAACCATATAGTAAGTACATGTGGTTATTGTTAAAGGGGTCATAGTGAAAGCGAAACTACTTTGTTTGGTCTTCCAAGAGGACACGACTACAACTCAGTGGTTAAGTTGTATTTACCACACTGTTCCAGAACAGTTTAACCCAAATATCCAGATATGTGCAGTGCATTTTATGGAGGACTGTTTACTGATCCTGAGAGAGTAACGTGCTAAAATGACTAAAATGCCGGCAGTTCTGACTCACGTAAGTACGTTTTCATTTAAAGGATTTGCCACTGATGATTCAAACGCGAGTTTTGGGCAGTAGAGTAGCACTTGTTGTCTGTCATTTCTCCGATCACAAATGCAGACAGAGTTTTATGTTTACGCGGCGCGATGCAATGCAACGCAACGCGTAAAAAGACAGTATAAGTCATTATAATCAGTAATTATGTCCCCACTGGACGCAACAAATGCCTCGTTTGTAATGGGTTTTAATGTTTTTGTCTCGTCGCTCCGGCCGGGACACGGCATCAACAGTATGTGAGGGGCGTAACATTTCCGTCTCACGCTTGAGGTATTCGGCCAATCACAACGCATTGGATAGCTGGCCAATCACATCACACCTCGCTTTTTCAGACCGATGAGCTTTGTAAAAATCGACACGTTTCAAAAAGGCGGGGCATAGAGGAGAAACAATAATGTACAGTATGTGGAAAATAATGTGTTTTTTTAACTTTAAACCTCATAAACACATTTCATTACACCAAATACACAAAATAATGTTATTTTTAGCAGCATCATATGACCCCTTTAATAAATATTACTCCGGACTTAAATGTATAATTACACTGTAACAAAGACACCTTAAAACAAAGTGTAACCAACGGTTAAATAAAGTTTATTTAAAGATTACTACCATTACCATATTGCGTAATTACATAAGAAATAATAAACAGATTTTCACTGGTCTATTGTTTATTAGAAGACACCAGGAGTCTTTGTTTCAACTAGAGTTTCAGAGATATACCAGTACATATATTATGTATATCTGTCTTGGACTGTGCTCAAATGTGTTAAAACACCAATTTCTACAATCAAGAGTCATTACATTCTTCCAAAAATATGAGTTATGCCAGCTCATGGATTGGTGATTTTAGCTCCATACCTAATCAAATGCTCATGAAAAATCTTAAAAATCTAAAGCTTTCAGGATTGCTTACCAGTCCTGCAGTTGAGTGTAGCTGAATATCAAAGTGTGCTGTCACGTCAACATTTCCAGCCAAGGCTTTGACGTGAACGCCTTTTGGGGCATCCATGCTGAGAGAGCGTGTTGGAGACTCTAGTCTTAAAAGATAGGGAATGCTTAGTTAGCACTTTGCAGTGCATCGTTTGGACACAAGATGGCCACAAGATACTCTCAAATTCAACAGTTTGATTCATAGAAACAGAGGAATCTGCATGACTGTGGGCATTACATTTACTTGTGAAAGACATTTTTAAAGCAGGAAAAAATTAAGCCTTTGTTGAGAACCAGATGCCTTGGTAACTCGGGTCATCATACATCACAGCTGGTTAATCCCCTGCTGGAAACTTCTATAAAAGTTATTTTAGGTAATATAATCAGTACCGCCATTACTTTTAATGGGCTGACCTTATAAAACAAGAATGTTTTTGAGAAAAAACAAATCAGATAAAATGCAGAGTTAAAAATGAAGCTACGCCGGCAATTAGTTTAATCGCCAAAACTGCTGTATCGGAAGTGAAAATGTTAATAATACAGTACTTACTTTAGCTCTTTGTTAAGTACTGCTTTGACCATTGGAGTCCTGACAGAATGCTCAAAGATAGCACCTTCTGGACCTGTCCAAACACCAGAAAACTTACAACTATACAAAGGAAGTGGACAAATCATTCAGCGTTGAGGGTGATATCCATATAATCACGTCATTGCATTTATTTGCTAAAATACAGATTATCCAATATATTATATTATTATATTGTATAACATATTATATTTCACTGTATTAAGCTTTGTATGTATTAAAGCATACAATGCAATACATGTATTTTTCAATTAAAATCAGGTGCTGCCACAAATACCATGATTAATCAATGTACATAGTTATATATTATAATATATTAAATAAGGTATATTATTTTTGCAATTTGAGAATTGGCATGGAAATGTTCTAAATTGTAATAAATAATACGAAATAACCTAAATGTCCTGAAACAGGCTTCATTCTTTAAATAAAATATAATTTGTTCTTCTTTTGGGGGGTGAAATACGATTTAATTCATGATTAATCTATAAGCAATGTACAGAGTTATATATTATTTTTGCAATATGAGAATTGGCAAGGAAATGTGCTAAATTGTAATAAAAATGCTAATAATGCTAAATAACCAAAATGTCCTGGAACAGGCTTCATTCTTTAAAAAAATATTATGTGTTCTTTTTGGGGCGAAATATGATTTAATAAAAACGCTATTGACAGGTATGAGATTCATCTATGCATTACAAAAATCAAAATAGCTCTAGGCTAGTTTAGATAAAGTATTAATATTTAATCTAGTGTGTAAAGCCATTGTGCATCATGGGATACCAGGCATGTGTTGTTATGGCTGGATCTGTTGTTTAACAAAAATCTCAGTATTTAACCAGTTAATTAATGGGGCTGTTTCATATGTTAGAATATACTTACTATTCTCTTCATATTTTTCTTAAATCTTTTTGAATTAATATTTGAACACAGTAAAGTGCAACATTGTAAACAATGTACTTCCTAACAATATAACAGCACTAATAATACAACAGAGCATTTCCTTTTCTTTTCTTTTTAATGCAGGTCTATTTCTAGGCTCACCTGTTACACGGAGCTTTCCTTTTCCCACAACGGCTCCATTTACATCTGCATAAAATACATTTTCATCATGGTTGGAACTGATATTAAAGTGTTGGCCAAAACCCTCGGCCTGACTGGGACCTATTGAAAATAGAAATAAATGAGGAGAGAATATATATATATTCAAACAGAATATTGATAAAACTATATTTATTCTCATTAAATTTCCAGTTTCACTTTCATATCCAGTTGTTCAGTTTTATGTTGCCGCTGGGCTCTTAGCTCATGCATTTTCTGTGTGACCCATTTGATTCACCCTGTAAAGCCTGACATATTTATAATGGAACCCTACAGTGGCCCAGTAGTGCAACACAACAGAAACAAGCCACAACACAATGAAATCAGCACAGCACAACAGCAATTCGAGAAGGGGGCTCGACCTGCAGCATGTTCCAAAGCTGGAACAGCTAGCAATAATTTACTTAGCTATGGGAGCAGTACACCTAGTTCTCAATCCGAGAAGGGGGCTCGACCGACAGCATGTTCCAATGCTGGAACGGCTAGCAGTAGTTTACCTAGGCTAAGGGAGCACAAACCCAGCTCTCAACGAGA